ATCTCGAGTTGGGGAAAAAGTCTGCGGCGGACACGTAGAACGAGTAGCGCGCACAGCTCTCCCCGCCGGTCTTGTACGGCCGGCTCCGGTCGAGTTTAAAGATTTTAATTTTGCGAACAATTCCGCCGGATGAGACATCGCGGGTAATTAAACGGAGGCAGCTGGAAAAGGGGAAGAGGGAAAACGGGAGTAAAAAAGGCAGGAAGGAAGGAAAGGAGGTAGGGAAGGCGATGATACCTCACAGTCGGATCAAGCTCTGCCGGGCGGCTTTCGCGAGCACGCGTACGCGAGCGCGATGCGTTGTTACGCAAGGTGAATTTGCGTGGACGAGCATTTACACCGTTCTCGCGCGCGCGTCCCGGCCGAGTACGTACGTCACTTTACCGTAATTACGAGCGAGCTTAATGCGCCCTGCGAATGATACCTATTTGCGAGCGCCGACGGTGCATTACGGTGGATACCTTTCGACGGGCGTGTGTGCACAAGCGTACGCGTATATACGGGCGCGCTCCGGTATTAATGCGGCTGAAGTCCGAAATACCGCCAGCCAGCCAGCCAGCCAGCAACCAGCCAGTCAGCCAGCTCGCATCGATATTTCAAAATCGGCGCGACGGCGGAAGTGGAAAACGTAGAGATGCGATTAAACTTCGTTTTCCAGCGTTTAATTGAGATTCGTTGAATAATGAGTCAGCCGCGGTCTCGCTTTACGGCGACACGCAAAATCGCGCTGTAAAAAAAACGCAGCTTCGTGCGTTTAAACAAATTAGTGGCCCGTGCATCGCCGAAACGTGATTTATTCGTTCCTACGAATGACGGGGAAGGGAGAAGGGGAGGAGGCTTTAATATGTTCAACGTAAAGAAAATATTAGTAACGGGAGACGGTTCTATTACGGAATTATATTTGTGTGCAGAAAGCTGAGGTGAATTAAATGATAAAACAAATTTCAGCGTGAGTCTTGAAGAGCGTCGTCATTTTTTTCTAATAACGACCTTTGGGGCAAAAGCTTTAAAGCACGCGACAATTTTGTATTTACGCGCGTAGATGTAAAATAATTATGAAAATGAACGTAATAATTTACGCAAGAAAGCTCGCTATTTATCCCAGCCGGCGTGGAGAGGCGCATAATTAATAAGAGAGAGAGACGCATTATTCGCTTCGTTAGAAACGTCTCTCCCACATCCTTCTGTATCCTTTTAACGGAACGCGCATTTCGTTTGTGCACGTTTTTGCGCGCTTTCACGGCGTGATATCGTCCGAGTAAATTTAATAAATATTTCTCACCACGCCTCGTGTGTGTGTGTGTGTGTGTGTATGTGTGCGGACGTGGGAAAGATTTCCTGCTGCGAGAGAAAGAGGAAGCCCCGCTACTACTCACAGATTAACTGTAGTCCGCAGACGTGTGCAGGTGAGTTACGTTCGCGACGCACCTCACCGGCGGGACATCGACGAGTAGTTTATCGCCATATATCTTATCGCCCGCGAAGTTGGCGAGCTTCGGGACGCTTCTGTTCGAAAATTTCTCCCAACGTTAAGATATATCGCGCGATCGCACGCAACGGGGCGATCAGAAAGATCGCGCAACCAGCGTTACCACCTGATTACTCGCGGATTTTCAATTCCATTATTCTCCACGGCGAGAGAGGCAACACGTGTAACTCGCGTGATCTCGCTCAAACAACGTATGCGAATCAATTATGGATTTTAATGAATTTTTTATAGAGCTCTCGATGCGCGAGTTATTAAAGGTCTCGAAGAAAACGTCTTATGTGTTTTCATACGTAACTCCTGATGATAAATAATCTTCTCGTGTGCGACACACGAAAATTGAAGGACGAGGTTCGATAGATCATAAGCACAAGATGATCTTCACAATATTCTCGCAAGATCCCTTACAAAAATATTTCACCGTTTTCAGCCCGCGAAAATTGTTAGTCTGAATAGTGAAAGCGTGCATTTGACTGAGTGAATATGACTCCGTTTTTAGGTCAGAAAAGGATTTTTTATAATAACAAGTAATTATAGTGAATTACGTACGAATACATCGGAGTGTATTAACGTACTGTTGAGTATTTCTGAGCACACGTGTGCAGAAAATACGTACAGTGCTGTGTAAGTTTGAAATATGCAAAAGTACATTCAGCTACGAGTATAAAATTCGTTTAGCACTCACGAGCAGTCGCATTGCACATTTTGAAATAGCATGAGTAAATGGTACGACTTTTTAATGTACATCATTCCGTGATAAAACGAGACTGAGCAAAAGGGGAACGTATTAACGTGTTGTCACTCGTCAGGTGGAAAATGAACATTGAAAACGGGCGATCTCTTCAAAAATACTCGTGCATATTCGCGTACACTGTCGTCATATTCCTTCGCTTAATAGACTGCGCGTGTCTGAGAATGCAAGAGACAGGTATGAAAATGGTGGAGCGGGTTAAAAACGGGCTGTGGGGAGTAAAAACGGTGAAATATTTTCGTAAGAGATGCTCGCAGTATCGAGAGACTGACGTGTACCGTGCGGCTTTTCTCGGCGGCTTTAATATCCGCGGGAAATTCAGCGGGCGTCGAAACGAGGGTCGACGTCACCGTGCGCGATGCTGACGAAACGAGAGGCACCCGTTAAATTTCTCATTTTATAAAGCTCTCGATGCGTTTGGCGGGTTATTAAAGGTCTCCGAGGAAAAGTGTGTCAGGTGTTCTCACGTGTCGCTCTCGACGATAATCTCGCGAGCGGCAGGAAAGATCAAACAAAATCAAACAAAACGCTCGATAGAGACATCAAAGACGCACGATGATCTTTACAATATTCTCGTGAGATGCTTGCATCGTCGAGAGACCAACGTGTATCGCGCGGCTTTTCTCGGCGATTTCAATATCTGCGGGGAACTCAGCGGATGTCGGCTCAGGAAGATCGGTGTCACCGTGCGCGCCACGCCGACGAAACGAGAGTGCATAGGCGCCCGTTAAATTTCTCATTTTATGCGTCAAGGAACCTCGCCGTAAATCGCGGCTTATCGAGTTTAGCTTCGACGTAGAAACGCATTTATTCAGGTCGACGCGGCGCGACGACCGCTCGCGCCGGCGAGATGGGCGAAACCATGTAGAAACTTTCCTTCTGCACGCCGGTTGATGATATTTCCGGGACGAGACCATTATCGTCCTGCTGGCGGACAGGACGTTGGAAACTTCGAGAGCGGGAGCGGCGCAATTTTTAAGCGGTCCGCGCGTTAACGTATCCGGTGAGCCGTTCGCCCGTCTCGCTCGCCCGCCGCGTTTAAACGCCGCTCGTCTGCGGCGGAGCAGTTTCGGTAATAATAACTTACGTCGCGGGCGAACGTTGTATTTGTTCGGCGAACGTGACTTCGCGGCGACGCTTTAATTATGGAGATTATTACCTGGCCGGCCGGACATTCGCTGAAATTTACGGGATTAACGTACATCCACCTAAATTACGTATTTGCCGGTCAGTCTCCGGCACGATACGGAGCTCGCGATATAACACGGCTACACCGTGCGTTGTGTATCGACGAAGTCGCGGTTGCCCCTGAATTATTGTCCGAGCGAGGAGAGCCCGAGCGATAAATTCAATTAATCGCGAGATTAATCGGACTCGAAGAAATAAAACGGCCGGAAATGCTTGGATCGTTTAGATAACTGCCTCTTTCCCTTTCATACGACTCTATAAATGTATTATCACGCGCGTCACGCGATCTCTATAAACGTAAAAACGCAATTTTATTCGGCGGGCTTGAAATTAGCGACCGTCGTCGGTGGGGAAAGGGCTGAAACGCGGAAATACAAAAATTGGTTTATATATATCGGGGTCGGGAAATAACGCGAGTGTCGATACCTGTGTTATTTCCCGAGTACGGTAATTCGATTTGCGACAGCTGGACGTAATAATTTCGCTGAAAAAAACACCAACGTGGGGGGAGAAGTCGCGGTAACAATTCACTCGCGAAAGATTTTCATCGTGTTCGTGTCGAATCACCGCATTAAAATTTTACTTGTTGTATTTACCGATGGGAATCACCGAACACCGTCCTTCTGATTCGGCGAATTATTTCATTTGTTTGTTGTTCGAGATGTTGTTTGCGGATCGATACAGCAGAGGAGGGTCACACCTTCGAGTGCGTGCTGCATTAACAAACGACGGAAGAAAAAGAGACGTTCGTTCGCCGCACCCTCTTGCCTCGTTGTTTGCGCAGGCCACGGGGGTGCGTACGTAAAGCTCCGGAGAAGTGATAGCGGAAAGATGCTCGCTTTCTCACGTGGATTTCATTGTTTTCCTACGCGTCATATCTCCGCCGCGCCGCGTCCCCATGAAAACTCACCGGGCGTGGAATTGCGGAACATCAAAGCGCGGCCCGCTCGCTTCCTCCTTCGGCCATTTCCCCACCCTCTCGCCGAGCTTGATTATTACTTATTCAATATTGTCTGAGAGAAGTCGGGTAACTATGTTTGCGAGCGCGCAATGAAAGCACGTCACGCGTTCTTATTTGACGGGGAGGCGCAATTCCCGAACGTTCATCGCGTTACCACCGGGAAGCGTAAAATGTACATCCGATTTTGACGGTGATATTTGCCCGACGTAAACATCTTACTCACCGTCGCGCCATCGGGATCATGCATATGTATTTTATACGCGAGTGCGACATCATCGGTTGAATTTCACGTCTAGTTTCCAGACCGGATAAAGGCTACTTTCTGACCGAAGAGCAAATGGAGAAATAAAAGAGACATATGAAAAATTCTCATTCTTTCAGGTTCGAAATAAACCGAAGGTCACTCAAAGATACCTTCTCTTTCAATCGCTCTCGGGTAAAGAGTACAAATTGAACGCCGCCCTCGCGAGATATCGGCCACAGATCGGTGCAGCAGAAAATAACGAAAACCGGACGTAAAATTTACCCCACCCCCTTTTCCCTCGGCATGCACTTTTAGCCCGCTCCTGAAGAAGCGTATAACGAGTCGCGGTGCGGAGAGACATTTATATTACCTTTTGGCAGGAATCCAGCGTGTATTAGCCTCGCCTCCATGAGCAGAGAGGGTAGAAGGAAGCACATGGCCGTGCAGAGGTGCACGAAGGCCGCCGTAGGGCCGCCGTGTCTCCATAAATTATTCGCCAGACCTAAAAATCGTCGTTATCGTCCTGCTGAGCGTCTTTTTCCGAGTTACACGTCGTGTAATTAAGATCAATCTATCATCTTTGAGACGCGAAAACAGACGTTGATCCTACACGGTGGTCTTTACCCGCGTTTTACCACGCGGCTCTGCCCGCCCTCTCTGCAGTACTATTCTGCGGATCTAATAAATTCTTTAATTGTATATCGCAGATTCTGTTCCGTAGACGCTGCTGCGTCAAGTATTGGCTTTCGAGCGGACACGAAAAAAACGTACATAATTCATTGAATTCCGGATAAGCCGTTCAAGTTCGCGTTCAGAGATAAGCAGGCTTAATTCATTAATCTCTTTTACGTTCAAATTTGGTATTATTAAATGCGACGTTTCGGATTATATCTCGTATTTCCTGCTCTGTTCTATTCTAATATGTATGGCAAATATTAATAATACCACTATGGCTAATTAATAATAGAGGAGAAAGTGATATTTTAATGGCCCTTGCAGGTACATATAATGGCTACTCTTGATATTTCCATCATTAGGTGGCAAATTCTAATGATTACTTGTGAAATCATTTATTTAGCAGCCAGCCGTTACACAATAAGCGCCAATATGCTAATGCAATAGCCGGCATTTTAGTTACGACGCATTTTTACTTACGAGCGTTTCGAAATGTTTTTAAGGTAATTGTACTATTTAATTGTACATCATTCTTAAATTTCTCATTTTGCTTAAATTTTCTAATAAAAATTCAGTTATATTTATTGCCGTTTCTTCTAAGAGAATTTATTTTGAATAAGTGTATAAATTTGTAACAAAAACTGTGTTCTTTTAACACGTTGACTGCCACGGAACTTTTCACGATTCTGGTCTAAGAAATCAATTTGATTTAATCAAGTAATAAAGCGACGAGATAACTCGTAGTTGACGTCCCGGGCAAGTAAACAACCTACGAGATATCTCGTAGTTGGCAGTCAACGTGTTAAATCAATTTTTTAAGTTTATTTTAGTCGGGGCCCACATTATCATCCCTGTTCGACCTATCATACAATGTCGCTATATTTTTATAAATAACGTCCTAAGTAATAAATATGTTATAACTTTGACTCTAGAATCGATTAAACAAAACTTTGACGAATGTAATCGTTAAGTTTTAAATTTAAATTTTGATGATTATTAAAATTATTGTTCAAGATGTAAATGGGGACCGTAATACCATTTCCTCCTCTATAATATGTATATAGAAGCACACGATGTAGGACAAGTCGGTGATAAAAATTGGTTCCAAGTATCGTCAGGAATATTCATTTGAGACAAAGATGAATAAAGTTCATCAATGATAACGTTAAGTCCCGAATATATCCAGCGATAACAATATAAGCGATGACAAGCTCTATGATATGTGCTTCTATGCGCCATATAGTATTGAGGATAATTGCGTCACTTACTATTATCGGCGTTATTAGTGAGAAGCGAAGACGGCGGGTCGCGCGAGCAGGCGCTCAAATGTCGGCCCAGTTTTATTCCATCGTTCGCGAGATTGCCGAGCTTCAAGAACGCCGCACCAAGTAGCACCGGAAGTAAAACGACCCCGGTGCCGGCCAGCACCAGGCAGGCGTAGAGTTCGATTTTAGGAGGTGGCGCGTCCGCCGGCCACGGTAGTGAAAGATAAGCTGAAACAGAAAAACGCAACCCGGATTAAACGCCTGGGACAAAAGCGCGCAATATATGTATTAGCTTTCTTTGTATTAATTAAACAAATGTAAAAAATTGTACCGCTGCTATCCGGTCTGGACTCTTTCTGTAATGTCACGAGGTGTTGACGGACATAAAATAACACAACACTGCACTAATTTCTCCTTTCGAATGAAACCCCGATAGGCAAAGTGAAATATTCTTCCTCGGGAAAAGAAGATCATTTCGCTTTCGGACGTTTAGTTCCTTGGCAGCGCATAAATCGTGAGAATCGGGCAAAAAGATATAATGGAGGGAACGACGATCGTTAGCGGAATATAATCGACAGGGCGGCGGGACTGTAAAGAGCCGTTTACAACAACCGTAAAATATATAGTAAGACGTAAACAGTAAGCTAATCGACCAATTTATTTCTTACAGTCTAAGAATAATCGACTGTGATTGGCCAATTAATTTATTGCTTACATTTTGCTGCATACTTTACGTCTAATCTAAGTGATCTTTAAAGAGTTCACCGAAAGCGACGTTAACATATCGTTATGACGCTAATTCGTTCACGACGCTCCGACTCTACAAACGATTCAACTATCTCTTATCACGTCTCTATCTCCGATTTTGTCTTAATGCCATTAGGCCATTGGTGGCGGTATTAAGGGCAATTCTTAGACGCTAGGAGGAGATAGGGAGAGCAGGAAAAATTTCACCGCCAGCCTTGTGTGTCTCTGGCTACGTAATGACTTCCAGTAACGAAAGCCTCGTACCAGCTGCCAAGGGAAGAAATTTACGCAACGCCGCCGGCCGGAAACGGCCGGAAAATAAGGAAAGGCAACGAACCATTCGGGACCTTGGCCAGAAAGTTTTACTGATTAAAGTAATCTTAAACGAGGGGGCAAAGGAGAGCCCCCCGAAGTCGCTAATGTAATCTCGTAATCGCCGCGGCGCTCTTTTTATTTTACAGCACTAAACCGAAGTTATGAAATGAATACGGTTGCGCGAGTACACGAGGACGGCGCTCATCATCGTCGTTAAAGGGACGGACTTTCCGCATTGGCAAAAGTCGAAGCCGCAAAAAGTATCGCCGAGAGATCTTTTTCAAAACACATCCGCAAGAAATAAGACTACAGGTCGCATTTGATTTAGTTTCGCGTGACGGTAATCGAATATGTTATTCGAGAGCGAAATTAACCGATAAGGGATTTTCAGGCGAATAAGTAAAAGGATTTTCGAGAGACTACTGAGGTAATCGATCCCGCAGGGAGGCGTATTTTACCGGGATAAAACCGGGAGAGAAGTGCTATCTTACCGGCGAATCGTCTGGCGTATCTCATTGCTATGTACGCCTGAAAAGCGACAGCTAGAATGCCGTACCAGACGGACCAGAGGCTGTTCACATGACCGCGTATGCAGGATTCTTTCCTCGTCGATTTTCGCGTTTTCTTCGCCTTGCTCGTGGTGGTTACGCCGCTCGAGCTGATGCTCGACACGACCGGCAGCGGCTTCAACGGCTTTTTACACTTGGCCTGGTTCACATCGTTGTTGTTCTCGTATCCCATTAAGCTCCCAGTCATCGACATTTTGTCCTGCAAAAAAGGAGAGGAAACGTTTTCGATTAGTCGCGGGTCTGTTCGTGCAGAGTGCTTTTTTTTTGCGCTTCTTCAAACAACGTCGAGTCGATATTTCCTCGGCGAAGATTTGAACACGGCGATTTCCTGAAAAATTCGAGCGCATCGCCAAACTTCATAATTGGGGCTTTGTTGAAGAGGCTCTACTCGACGTCAAATGAAAGATAAATTCTTCCCTTTGTCTATTTGCATTTTCAAAGAGCGGCCAGCTTCCAAAGTTCGTGTAATCGAATTATACGCGATGAAAAGGGGCGATGTTTCACGGAGAAAAATAATTTTATTGCAGCGAAACCATCATTGCTGTTGCATATTCATTATGACAGAAGTAAAATTTAATTGGCGTGCCGAATAGTAACAAAATTAGCGAACTATTCGCAATTAAAACAGGAACAGTTTCGTTGATAGGACGAGAAATATCCTGCTGAGTGAATTTGTTCTTAAGACACGTTAATTTGCTGTTAGAACAATATATATATTCTCTAACATCAATTTATTTGTTTTTACAGCAAAATAATTCAGCGAATGGCAATGAGCAATTCTTAGCGAATCGTTTTGCTGTCCGTGTAAGTGACAGATTTTGCTGCGATAACACAAAATTGTCCATGTCCAGGAAATAATTTTTCTCCGTGTTTAAAGTTGAGATTACGCGCGGCAGAGGAATAATCAGCTCGAGCATTCCTTCGTTCACCGTGGGGCCAAGTTGTCACCACTATCGCCAATTCCATCTGACCGTAGCCGAGCGTTACGACGGCGGTTCCCATGATTTCTCGGCTCGGCCCGCCAATTCCTCGCGTCTATTTCAATTATCGCCCTTTACCCGATAATCACCCGGCGGACCGTGGCGTTTTATCTCGCGAGCGACTCTCGAGTCATTTCCATTTTACCGGGCTACACCGGGAGTCTCGATGCGTTCCAACGGTTTATCTCTCGTGCGCCATTGAGCCTCCTGGGAGGCTCTTTTCTACCGTTGTATCTTTCTCCGCTACTTTTCTGGAGAGCACGCGGCTCCTTCTCATTCGCGCTTCTTCTATCTCCTCTTTACCCCGGCATTTCACAGTCACGTCGCTACGGAAGCAAGGGAAACTCGCGGATACGGTTATGCTAAAATATTAGGTTGCCGGGCGCGGGTTTGTCCCGTCCTTTTAAATATTGAAAAGGATCTGACGCGTATATACACACTCTGAAGGATCTCTTAAATATTAACGAGATTTCCGGTTAAGACGCGGTTTGGGAAATAATTCCTCTCGCATGTCATCAATTTTTCGCACGAGTTCGCTACATCATTGTTCGCAAGTCTTTCGAAGATAACGTTTTCAACCATCTTTTCGTCAAATATATATTTCATACTTTACTGTTGTATACACATATTTACTATCGTGTTTATTACTATTAAAGTAAAAGTACTAATGCCTAACCTAATTTAACTCTGGACATTCTTATTATTTTTGTCTTTAAGTACTCGCGTTTAAAAACCAAAACAATAAGAACGTCCAGAATACAGGTACTTGTCCAGGCACTGTTACTTTTACCTATATACTATTATATTTACTAGATTTACTATCGTATATATTTTATACCCTCGAGAACAATCGTGCCAAATTTATCGGCTAAACAAGCGCGAGCATGTCGGCCCGCTCATTATCTCCGCCCCCGCTCAAGAAACTTAATGAAAAGTTCTAATTTACCGCAATCCCCTCGGATCGGGTAATTAAGAGACGTCGCGTGTGTACTTTATTGCCTGCTACTTTTTATTGTTACATTGACCGCGGTACTTTTGTAAACGAGGCGCAGTTTGTTCCGCCGGGTTGTGCGGCGAGGTCCGAGTAATTAAAATATAAACGAGCGCCAGTTTCCAGTTTTAGGACGCGCGGAGGAGAGAGCGCCGACCGCACGAGTGCGCGCGCGCGCGCACTTATTCTGCCTGTTTTCCGTTCGGTTATGAGCTGGGCGGCTTCAGAGACCCTTCGCGCGCACGCTCGGCTTCTCTCCTAAGCCTAGGGGTTGTAAAGTGCAAAGTTTTATGATCGTTTTCGCTGGATTCGTTCCGCGATAAAATTTCAAGAAGGGAGGCGTCGGCACGAGCGCGCGCGCGCGTTCGGTGCATGCGTGCGAAGAGGCACGTGCGTGACCGTATCAGGGACCCGCGAGGCGTGTACTCGCCTTCCTGTTTCACGATCTGAAAATTTATAGTCCCCCCGTGAACAACCAGCCACGAAATCCTCCTACAATGCGAACCTTTCCTTCTACGTTCGCGCGAGCATATTCGATATCAGCGCGTTCGCAGGATCCTCGACGATAGCGGTCATTAAATGAAACGGACACGGATGCTAGGATATCATTTCATACGAGCCGTGAACCGGCTCATTTCCGAATCGGAAACGTGCGCAAGGTGGAGTGAATCGGTACGCAGGAGAATAAAAGATTCAGGTAAATAATTACTCTAATATTCCTTAACAAATTTTTCCTCGGATTAAGCAAATATTATTTGATTTGTAGCACCTCTTTCAACATTAAAGTAATATTTATTTGATTCAAGTTAAATTCATTTAATCCAAGTAAAAATTTTCTAAGCAGTAACGAAGTAAATATTTAATTATAGCCTGCACTTTTTTCTATGTAAAAGTGAGGGAAAAAATAAATGTGCGATTTTAGCGATGTAATTCATTCCTCTGCGGAAAAAGAAAACGAGATGAAGAAATTCTCTTTAAACGTGAGAGATAAAAGAATTATCTTCTTTAATTGTTTCTATAGTATGCGACAATTGGAATTTTTCAAAAGAATCGGTATGATAAGTACATGTGATAAAGCATCATGCTTTCCGTATAAGCATTCACAAAAACGGACGCAGGAATTTTCATGCTTTCCACCCGAGTCGTTCTTATGAGGTAAGTGGAAATATTAATTAGCATCCAGACGAATCCACGTTACGCGCTGGCGTCAAAGGAAGTGTCTGGAGAGCCGGAGAGCTTCGTGGACGACCTTTTATGGATGAGAAATCGCGAGAATGCGTTTCAATGAAACGATCGATGAGGTTTTCTTAAAATAGCGTCCGGTAATTAACGTTCGAAGGGAATCCTCCGTCGAAGGAAACTTCAATTAGCATTTATCATACATTATTCGATAATTTGCGACTGATTGGGTTCTCGATAAGTAAGTTTCAGAGTCGGACGAAGGTGATTTTCTTCATTTCCTGTCCGCCTCCTCCTTTACTATTATCAGAAAATTCCATTGCAGTTACAATATTTGAAGTATGTATTATCGATATTAATGCGAATAGTTTGGGAAACTCCACGGTTCTTTCCGAACGTTCTTCTCCAATTTAAATATTCCGTGAAATATTAGCTCTCAAACTTTTCCGCAGTATTATCAGAGTGACAGAAGCCGCTTGAAATTAGCTTTTACGCTTGAAGGATTACGCCCGAAAGTCGCTGGCAGATTTTCGAAATCTTTCGGTAAGTCCGCGGGATCGTCGTGGGAGCGTAAAATCCACGCGCACCCGGCTGAAACTTTGCGCACCGCTACTGCGAAACGTGGCCGGACGACGAAAAAGTACGCGATTACGTAACGGTATAGCTTGAAAGTTCAATTGAACACCGAGTGCGAGTGTGTGTGAATACACCGACACGTTCGGCCAGATAACGCGCGATTAGTTTTTAGGAAGAGACTGAGAAGTCCGAATTCGAGTTTTCGAAACGCGATTTCGAGGATGGGGTTAAACGGCTGTACAATTTCATCCCGATAGAAACGACCGGCGAAACTTGGATATTTCTCGCGTCGCACGTTTCAATTTTAACGTAAAGAAGTTAAAACGACGCGGTGGAAACGCTTATGTGTATTCTTTTCGCGAAGAATTCAATTACAATGTGTCAGTGCTACTCCGCTTCGCGGAGAAAGTTCCGTAGAACTTTTTAATCAGAAAATTTAACCGATCGCTCGGTGACGCGGATAAATTACACTTTCTCCGAGCGCGAGACCGATATTCAAGTTACGGGAACTTACCAGATTTCTGTCGAGTCCTCTAAAATCTCGAGTAGGCTTCTCCGCGATAATTGATTCGAAGATCTAGCATCTTTGGCGGTGGTAGCGCCTGAAACGAATAAATAACGGAGCTTTAGCGAGGTTTCTTTAGGTAGCTATAGCGTAAAATGAGTTTTTTTCAGAATTCATTGAAGCTCATACTATAGACAGATTTAAACATGATTTAATTATTCACATGATTGGAGAAAACGATTGACCATTCGGAAGCTGAGATACTAAAGATGGCATTTTTTATACGTGTTGGAGGTTGAGGTCCTATTTTTAACTTCTTCTTTAATCCTTTCTAAACCACATTAAGAATTTGTATGAAAAACTACTGTGATATTAATAACTAATACAAAGGCTCGACAATTTTATAATTTATAGTAACCTGTAATGTGTATCTATACATAAAGACATATTTAAATATTTATATATTACTTTCTATTATGTGTGCACCTCTATTACCTCCACTGACATATAAATAAAGCATTAATAAGAAAAATTAAAAACAAGTAATATCTCCGTGTCTGTGTATACACATTTCTCTTCATTTCGTTAAAAATTAACAATTATTATTTAGATAGTTAAATACAATTGTAGGAAAGTATTTTTTTCAGTAAATAATACATTTATATAGGGATCTCTTAATATCGTTACTAAAATTCCGTCACTTTACGATACAACAACCTTAACGAGACAAACAACAGTGAAATAACATTTCAGTAAAACGCGAGAAACGCCGTCCAGTTTTACGTTTCAACATTACGACGAAACATTTTATGCTCTAATACGGCGAAGGAAGCACCGTGTATGTCATTTCAAATTACCGACGAGACCAACGGGCTTCGAATTTCGCGACGATTCTCTGCGATCGACGCTCAAGGCGACGCGAGGAATTTCCCGGTTCTCGCGTCAGCATTTACGCGCGGACAAATTCTAATTTTCGCAGTGTGTTGACATTGCAAGTACATTCGCGAGTAGTGGCTTAGTCGCTCCATTAATCACATTGTCTTGGTGATGCTGTTCAGATGGGATTAGGCGATGTTTGCTGTCTCGCCGTGTTTATCCTGGAGCAGGAATGCCGCGTCGAGGAGGTCCGGCCGTGATTCGCAACAATCCTTTGTTGATCGATAAAATTTGCCGTTTACCTAAGCCGGGATAATAAGCTTGCGCTCGGACAAGCCGCGTTAATTACACAGTCGTGTTCGAGATTATGCTTCGCATATGGTTCTCGCAAATTATGCTTGCATTCCCTTTCATTGACAGCGAAGTGACTTGTTCCGCGTGCATACATTCATTATTAGGCGTGTCTAATAATGCGCTCACGTGTCTTAAAATTCGCCACGCGGCGAGGATGATACGGACTTTAGCGCTTCGTCTGGTACAAAGTAACCGAACGTAAAACCCTTTTAATCCTTCGATAGATCGTCGGCCACACTGGTGTGAGGGAGAATTAAAGTCCGCTCCCTGCTCTCTTTTATTAAAGGATATAAAAATGACAAACGTACGCGCCACCCTCAATCTTTAATTAATTGCTCGAGTTCCTTGTAATTAGGAATTCTCTCTGTGCTCGAGATAAAATATGTCGTTGGACGAGGAATAATTTCGATTTAAACGACTTTCGAGACCGCTTGCGGTCTTGAAGAGGAAACCATATCACGCCTAAGGATCATTTTCCTTCTTTCTTTATCTCGCTGCCGAATTATCTCGGTTATCTGCCGGGATCCTTCAGCGGTCGGGTTTCCAAAAATTACCCGCCACTCGGGATGAATCCCTCCCTCGACGGGCGCAAGAGTGAAAACCGAAACGACTCTATGCCAGTGTCTCTCCTCTTTCTTTTCAATGGTCACACGCTCGATTTCACAAAGAGAAAGATAACACAGCGCCATTAGTCTGATTACAGTTTCGTATTACGCGGCACGAGCAGCACCTGAGCTCCTCTAGGATGGTGTTTGGCCATTGTGCGCGCTCCGGTAGCTCGAGTTGAGAAAGGTAAGCTCGTACAGCCCGGTGTAAGAAGGCAAAACCGCGAGTTCATTAATTTTACCCCCGGAGGCAAACCTTGAGCCACACAAAGCACGCCCGCGAATTAACGCGGCGCACAATACGAATAAATACGCCGGGCTGGCCGGCTTTGGGAGACACGCGCTGCGAAGCAATAAGAATTCCATTCGAATACGCCGGGAATCATTTTTAACGTCGCATTTTGAAGGAGAGCACTTTAGCCCGCTTTAATGAGTCAAAGGGAGATTACAGTCGAATTAATTAAGCCGAATTAATTAAGTTCCGCGTTAAATTAGTTCCGTAAAATAATATAATGGCAGTTAGCGCAAGCTCGTTATCACGCTAGCGGAATAATTCGATGAAAGCTGGCCTCTCGTTGTGTGTAATCCGTTACTCGCGCCATGACGAAGAGGTATTGTCTGTCCTGTCGACATTAACAACATGTTTAGCTTACGATTGTCGACTCGTCGTAATATTAGTAAGTAGTATCAGTAAGATATTACAGTAATAACAAACTCCGTGACAATTTTATTCCAGCGTTAAACACCGTGATGAAAAATCGCCGCAAATTACATTCTATCGGAGATATAACAGACATAATAGACATATGTATGACGGCTCGTACATATGTCCTTTAATTCTCCCTGCAATCTGCTCATACATCTTGTATTAGATCGATTCCTGTCAGCGCCAAGCGGATACTCTTTCTCCGTTCGGATCGTAGTTACAGGTATGCTATGCCTCCCAAGCTAAATGTGCCGAATTCTAGCGACGGGTTTCTTAGGAAATTTAAAGTCGATTTGGTTTCGAACATTATTTCTGAAATTGTCATTTCTGAATTGTTATTGTTGAAATGTAGTGCACAGCAGCGACATATTCGTCATACTCGTATAATCGCGCAATATCTTCTCGTAATTTTATCATTGTCACTTGTCAACATCAGTTATAAAAACTCCTGAAATGTTGCGAAATTGAGTGACAGTTTAAATCAAATGAAAATTTTTCACAAGTGCTTTTTTCAGACTTCGGATATGAAATTTGTACAGATGACAGATACCCCGCATAAAAATTATTCCTGATTTTTTTCATACACACTACAAATTCTAGTTAGAATATCCCATATTTACGATAAATATGGAATAAGGTCTTTTCTCCACGATGCTGAATGACTATCGAGTGATCGTTCGATCAAGTAATAGTTAATAAATGGCGTTACATTTTTAATGTTACTATACTTAATAGCGCGCGCGTAACATATGTATGTGTGCTTGTAATGTGTGAACACTTAAGCTTCGCAAAGAAAAGTAAGGATCGTTCATAATTCCAACAAGACGTTTATTCATTGTATTATTATAATAGTTTTGAAAAATATATTCTCGTTTATTGTTTTATATGATTTTTATATCCTTTATTTTAGCCAAACAGAATATATATTCATATATTTGTGTCATCCATGATTCCACCTTTCTATTATATTTTCACGTCTTGTTACTCCACCTTTCCTTTCGAGGGTTAAAGTGTTTTGTATATTCAATCATAGTATAAGATGGAAATCAGAAACAATTTTTGGGAAAATATTGCGGACGACGAAACAAAATCTGCTTATGTTTCCCATGTTTGAAACATTATTCATATTTCTAACCAGAACCTGCGTAAATTTTCCGATTAGAATCCATCATTATTTTGGGAAATCGGACTGTATGCCTATTAAATCCCAAGAAATTTTTTATGCGGGTAACTGTCGTTACCGAAACATAACATGTATAATATAATTTTGATATTGATTGCGATATTGATGCATGACACATATTAATTGCAATATTAGTTATCATGCTGTTAGAAATTCCGATATTAAGGTCGCAATCCGGTTTAATCAAAGGCAACCCAAGGAAACGGAGACGAAGAAAGAACGATCATCCAACGAGTATAACGGCGAGCGCGATAATGTGATAACGGCGATCGCGACTCCTCGGGGCGATCTTTATTAGTAACCGTACAGGAAATTGCCGTGACTTCGAGTCAATCATCTCGGCCTCCGTGAAATTCCGGCGTATCACGAGGCTGAACGCGCCGGTAATTACATCACTCGCAATAAATCAGGGCCGCTTGGCATTAATTATCCGTCAACCGAACGGTGCGCGCGGAGTGGCAAAAACTTCTTTTCATGCACGGGAGAAAAATGTCCACTTCGATAGAATATAACGCGCGATGCTGATATATCATTCATGGTCTCCGTCGCAACGTGTATTACAAAGTACACGGGCACGTTGTAAGGACGGAAGAAATCGAAACGGAAGACGATATCGGAAAGATCGCCGGTGCGATAACTCTCGAGAAACGGCGCTTCATCGTCCGTCGTGTGAATCGTGCAATTTTACACCTATCGAAGACGTTTAATGACGAGCGATACTCCATTCGGTGTCGGTGAAATATTTATTTTCTCTTTTTGTTTCTCTGTTTCTTCTCTCTTTCGTCGCGTCGTGTGCACGTGTGTGTATGATAACAATGCAAATATTAAATAAGTGAGACTATCGGACCAGCGATACGACTGTAAATACAAGTTAAATCACCCTTACTGTTGGCATTCACGATATTGACTATTCTGGTATTGGCGCCAGCGGGTTTAATCACTCAGCGCGGGCTGAAAAGACGGTCTTTTATAAAGCCGATCAAAATGTAGACTTGATATTCATACAGAAAAAAATCTCTGTTCGTGTAACTGAATTGGGATCGAACGAAAATTTGTCGACGAGAAATAATATCTCTGTCACTGTAGCCGAAAACATTTGTTGGAAGATTCAATATTAAAACTCGGTTGAGATGAAAGACAATTGACCGGGTAAGAAACTGCTACAGGAATTTTCCGGTTTCTGAATTTTCCGTCTATTGTTCCAACGGAAAATTCAGTTATACTAACGGAATTGTTTTTTCCGTACACAAGTCAACTCCAAAGTTCAACGATGCGAAAGAAACTTTCAGAGAGGAAAAATTCACATTTACTTTTATACCGTTATTTCGTCCTATGATACTCGACTGATAAATATCACAAGCAATTTTGTACAA